CCCGTTATGTAGATGTACATTCTCCTGCCCAAGAGTTTAGCATCCATTCGACCGCAGACGCAATAGCTGATCATTTTTTCACAGTAGATAGGTATAAATCTTACCGATCCCGTCTACTCTGGAATCTACTATGATACACAACGTCATCCAGCCGATCTGCCCTCCGTTATCTCACGAGCTCTTACCACAGGGTGTCAGAAACTTATCGTTACCGGATCCGATTTAGAAGAGTCTCGAAAGGCTGTTGAACTATCTAAAGAACATTGTAAGCATGTCCAGTTCAGAAATTTAGAAGTGGAAAATGGGAAGTAGTAAAGCTAATGGCTGATTCTCACAGCCGGGGTCCTCTTCGCAACCGTTGGCGTCCACCCCTGTTCCTGTCTCCAATTCACGAAAGCCCCAAATACACCGGATAAATACCTTCAAGAACTCGAGTCGTTGGCGTTAGAAGCAAAAAATTCAAATCACTGCGTAGCATTTGGAGAGTTCGGCCTTGACTATGATCGTCTTACTCTGTGCCCAAAAGATGTCCAATTAGAATACTTTGAAAAGCAACTCGATATAGCGACTCGTCTACATCTACCACTCTTTCTTCATTCACGCGCTGCCCATGAAGATTTTGTACGAATCTTGAAGGCCAGATTGGAGGAGTTGCCAAAGAGAGGAGTGGTTCATAGTTTCACTGGAACAAAAGAGGAAATGGAGGAACTAGTTGCTTTAGGATTTGATATTGGGGTGAATGGTTGTTCATTGAAAACAGAAGAGAACTTGGAAGTGGTGAAAGCAATACCTATGGAGAGACTCCAAATCGAGACTGATGGGCCTTGGTGTGAGATCAGACCTAGTCATGCAAGTTCGAAATGGTTGAAGGGGTTCGAGGAAGAGGAAGAGGGGGAAGGAATGAGTGAGGGCGAAAATTCTATCGAGGGCGGGAAGGGTTGGAAGAGTGTGAAGAAGGAGAAATGGGTAGATGGGGCAATGATTAAAGGTAGAAATGAACCCTGTATGATTGGTCGGGTAGCGTGGGTCGTTGCAGGAGTCAAAGGGGTGAGTGTGAAAGAATTGAGGGAGGCGGCGTGGAAAAATAGCTGCAAGATGTTTGACTTGGGAGCGTGAGTAGTGTTTGTCTGTTTCGATTGCCAAATACCTGTGTACATGTTATTAGATGGCTAGAATCTAGATCCAAATACTAAATCATTCGACACTTGATTTAGGCATCTGCGAATGAGAGCTATGATATGAGGTGATTCTGCGTCTTACTACAACAGCAAACAAATGAACATATTCACATACTAATAGAGGATTAGGATTGGTGTCACAAAATCTTTCGAGTTAGCCCCGCATTTGATATTGCAGGTCTTGTCATGATCTAAATCGTAAAATGCTGTATAAATCGTGCCAAAACATCTCAGTCCTTGCAATGCCTCAATGAGAACAGGAAACCTCCAACTCCAGGTATCACGACAAACCCAAACACCCAAACACCATCGTCCGAAACTTCCCAATATAATCACACATACTCATTACGAGTATCACTCAGACGCCAGTTCCCTTGAATCCCCTAACCCTTCCCCTCTTCACAACTCCCAAAGTAACACCCTCTTCGCCAGTCATCCATCCTGGCATTTTCTCTCCGTCCACTATTCCTGCCTCAACTAATTCTCGGATCCCCGCAACTACATGAGTTCCCTGGAATGTTATTCTGATATCTGGCTTCCATGAATCCCTCCCTCTTTCGTCCCTTTCTTTTTCATTCCTTTCCTCACTGTCCTCTCTATTCAATCTATCAAACTCAGCTTCGATGGTACCTCTTCGTCCTTTGTTCTTCCCTTGTTGTCGCTCAGTGATTGATTCATTTTCTGGTTCAAGTGTTATAGAAGCGAAAGAAGGAAAAGGGTCTTCGATACGAATATCGAGTCTTTCAATGCCCTTTCTGTCATCGGGTTTTGCAGAGTTTCCAAAACGAGCTTTTGCTACATTTTTTCGTCTCTTTGCCAATTCTGGTGCATCGTCCTCTCTGACCCTTTTCATATTTCTCGGTATTGCTTTCTCTTTGTCAACGCTCTCCAACTGTTCCCCAGTTAGTGAGTCCTCTGATGGTGGTAATATCGGATTCAATGGATTGTCCTTTTTATTTTCTCCTGCATAAACTTCCCATGCACCTCCTGCTGCGTTGTGCCTTCCTCCTCCCCTCCTCTCACATAGCGCCTCCAAATTCTTCGTGGAAAATCCAGTACCCTCTAACTTGTACCTTTCTCTTGGCCTGCTGAACGCTTTCGGGATTCCATCCAGTGTCAATTTCCGTAGACTCTTTGTGTCGGTTGCTCCATTGGCGCTCCCTGCTGTGGAACTCAATGAAACATAAATATATGGCGAAGCATCTGGGAAAGCAATGTAAAACGTCTTGCTAGAGTCGAATGCCATGCTTGCTCTGCCAGAGCCCGATGAAAGCGCAAGTGATGTGTTATATGGCGAATCCAGTATATAGATTCTTAGAAGTAACAAAGGTAAAGTAGCATGACGATCGAGATTGTAATGAGCTTTTACATCTGGTAGCACCTCTTTTTGTAGATTTTGTAAGAATGTTGACGGATGGAACCTAGGTATTGCTGTATCTTTCTTTTCTTCCTTTGGCACTTCATGGTCGGGAGATGAAGATGACAGCGGCACAATTTTCAGGGCAGTCCATTTCTGTGATGTAGGATGATCATAAAGATATTGCATATCTGCCATAGCTAATTGATATAGTGTGATCCCATGTCTCCAGTCCCCCTCCAGTATTCGGTCAAGGACATCGCGCTTACTGCCTTTTTGCGTTGCAAAGGAAGTGTAGAGTTCGATGAGAGAGTCAAGGGTAGCATGAGGTGGGTAAAGATCTTGCGCATAATCTGAGGCAGAATCGTCGGCTTCAAGAAGATATGGCGCGGTATTGATTTGATTACGTTCGTCGAGCCAGTCGAGGGCTAGGGTGAGTAGGGAAGGGCGCGAGAGGCGGGATAGAAGTTTGTGTACGGAGGGGTGCGTTGAAGGGACAAGCTGAGAGGGAGGAAGCGCAACGGTAGTCGGTATAGATACTGCGGCCATGATCGATGGAAATAGAGTGAATACTAATCAAGCAACAGAAATCCCAGAATTGGATGACACCGTCATTATCGGTTTCATCAGTTTCCAGGTATCTTTCTTGGTGTTGTGATTTGGTGTTGTTTATCGCGTTGCTGGTCGCGAAATCATCGCGATCCGCTGATGTAGTGGAACTAGCACCAAACCCCCGTACCTAGTAGTCAATCAAACCGACCGTCAACGGACGAATTACCAAAATGCATACAATTCAATGGTTTTTCCCCTTCAAATAAACCAATATCTCCACTCATGATAATATTGGATGTGTAATCATGAGTTAGACACAATAAAACTCCTCGCAGCTGTCGGCATTCATTGGCTGAAATTATCGTAAAGTCTCAAGACTGCTAGGTAGTTCTAGAACAGTGAAAGGAGAGCCCCAGATGATTTTGTAACGGCGTCCGAGGAAGTGGCCTCAAACGTCTTGTGAGAACAATACACTCTTATGATCAAGTACTTGTGTCGAATTCTGAAACTGGCCTGGCTGGCTTTTCCATCTTCATATGTGATGAGCGCGTAGACAGTATTTGGAACATCTATTATCTGGGTTCCAGGGACATCTTGAAGGACATAATGATCCGAATGTGTGTAAAGCACTGGATAACAATACTTCTCCTTGTTCTTTCAACATGGCGATGACATCTTGGTGGTCATATCAATCTCTCCCTCTAAGCGCAAGGCTTTCAGAAAGTGTGTCTTGGCCATCTACTCTTATTCGGTAGCCCTAGAGTGCGAAGTCATTCGTAAAACCCAGATTTTGAGGACCCCCAAATGGATGGTGGCGTCAACTATGCATCAGAGATGACGGCAATATACAGGAAAGAAATCACGCGCTGTCTATTGGAATTGGCTTAGCTGCATAGGATTTGTGCCCTTCATAGGTTCCTAGAATATAGCACTCCTCAGATCATTGCTCAGCGTTAGGTCTGTTTCCTCCTGTGGATTATATGTTGCCCGTCACATGACATTCCATGCCGAAATTATCAAATAACAGTAAATCGGTATATGCGTGCAACATCAGATGAATGTCCCTCGGTAGCTGTGCAAATGCATATCGCATTCCGGGCGGTCTGATCACATTGAATGAGAAAATCTAGACAAGAGTATAACATAACACCATAAATTCTGTCACCAAACTAAGCTTCAACGTCTTTGCCCGACGAAAGCAATAAGCGCATCAGGAGGCGTCTCCTCAACACAGTCCGTCCAGATCTTAGGTCAAATTCCTTTCTGGAAGTAACTTCAGCAGCTTCATATTACTCCGCAATGATCAATGCAGGGTTTGGAGACCCATAGTCCTCCCAAAATGTGCAGAGCTCTTTCTCTTTCGGACAATACGCTAGCGAGCTGTATGCCATGCTGAGTCTCTCCACCTTTTTCTATTTCTTGTTTATTTCTACACAAAAACTATAAGAAGAATACATGGGATACAATATCAATTATATTGGGTCTATACAGATCTACTTCGATGTTTGTCCCTCTCTTTCTCCTTATGACATCTACAGCTTTATTTTCAGAATCGAACCTATTCGTATAACGTTCACTTTCGAAGGCATGACTAGATAGACTCTTTGGTCTTCTTTAGCTCTTTTGGACTCACTTCGTATCGACCTCTTGACGCATTCTCGAATCTGCCAATTTATTTTCCAGCATCATTCCAACCTTTTTCTACTCGATTGATCATTTTACTTTGTCTCCATTTCACATCAATCTTCATCGCAAACTTTTCTCATATTGATAGTTGTTCTTGATCTTAAACAAATCATCATTCCACAATTCGGTCTCGAATTTTTGCTGGGCAAACACCCATTTAGTTTGATCTAGTCAAGATTACCAGCATCAAGATTAAGCAGCTCCATAAGTCTATAAGCCCATTAAATATGGCTTCCAAAGGTGAAGCAAATGCTGGTTCAGCAACCAATCTCAAAGAAGGGGAAATTAAGACCGAAACCAATGATAATTTTTCTCCTCGAATAAACGAAGGACGAGAACCTGGCCTAGATCTTACTGTTATCCAGCCAAGCACCGATGCTGTGACTAGGAAGGAGAAGGCGGTTAAGGCTAGTCTCCTCTTCTTGAACAAAGCTGAGAGTATCGTGGCTTCGTACACAACCATGTTCCCCGAGTTCAAGCATTGGCAAGACCAAATCAGTATGTTATTACTTATAAGTATCATAAAGCTGAACTAATATTTTATCCTTATAGAACAAATTCTTGATAGCATAGAACGTCCTCGTGTGCTAGTCGGAGTGTTGGGGTATACTGGGAGTGGAAAATCATCCTTAATCAATGCTCTCATTGATGAAGAAATGGTGGTGCCAGCCAATGCCATGCGTGCTTCCACGTCCATGGTGACTGAAATCTCATGGAACGATTCAGACGATCCGGAAAAAGCCTTCCGCGCTGAGATAGAGTTCATAAGTGAAAAGGAATGGAAAGCGGAAATGGATATCCTGTTAGATGATTTGCAGAATGCCACTAAAGGAGAGGATTTGTCAGTTGATACTGGCAGCGAGGCTAGTACGGCATTCGCGAAGATATCCGCGGTTTGGCCTGGAGTCACTCTGGACAAATTGAAAGGAATGACATCAGAGGAACTCTTCCACGAGATAGAAGGAGTTTCCAATCATTTGGATTGCAATCTGGATATCTCAGATAGTAAAGCTAAGTCATTCTCACAACAGATAAATTCTTATATCGACTCAAACAACAAGCAAGCTTCGTCGAAAGGAATATCCTACTGGCCTTTGGTACGTTGCGTTCGAATCTACACGAAAGCTGAGATATTGAGACATGGTCTCGTTTTGGTAGATCTGCCTGGCCTCGGAGATTCGAATACCGGGAGGACACAGGTCGCAGAGAAGTACGTTAAAAATCTCACATATGTATGGGTTGTGGCCGACATAGTTCGCGCAATTGACGACCAGGTTGCAAGGGATCTAATGGGCAAATCCTTTCGGAGACAATTACTCATGGATGGAAAATACGACGACAAGTACGTTACATTTATTATGACGAAGACTGACATGATCAACACTGATGAAGTCATTGAATCGCTGCAACTTCGAGAGCATGACTTGAAAGAGATTCTACTCCGAGAAGAAGAAATCTTGAAGCAGATCCCTAATTGGCAAGAGGCGCTCGATCGAAAAGCTCTTAAAGTTAAGAACATCAACAAGGCTTTGAAAACAATGATGAAGGTTTACAAGTCGTCCACAAGTGCCAGGGCCATTCTGCGAAAGCGCAAGCATACAGAGGACGACATGACCGATTTAATGTCAGAGAATGAGGAGCAATCGTCTGCTGACTCAGAAACTCCAGAAACCCAAATATTGGAAAGGAAGCATCTCGTGAAGAAAAGAGCTCATAGTGTCAAATCTGTGAGAGCTTTGGAGAAAAAGCTTGCTGAAATGAAGCGCACCCTCAAGTTGATCAGAAACGACATCAAAGCTGCTTGTACCCAGGCTCGGAATCGTTACACACAGGAGAATCTCAAAGTGGACTTTGAAAATGGACTCCGAGACTTAAAGCAGGATATTTCTCATGATACAACTGATGAGCATCATTCTGGAAATGAAGACGAGGAGAGGAACAAAGATTCGGTTCATCACCGTAAGTCCTCCAGTACAATACTTCCCGGTGATCTTTTGATGTTGATGTGAGATTGCCACAGAAGATTTTGTTAACCAGCTAAATATTTTCTGTGTATCTTCAAAGGGATACCAGAAACTTGCGGGTCGCTTCAAGCGCGATCGGATTCCGGAAGGGTTTGCGTCAGTAAATGATACTTTCATTCCAGGTCTACAAGAACATGCAGCAGCTTCTACCTTAACGACGCGAACAAAGATAGCCGATACCTTCCTAAATGATTTCCAAATATTAAAGTTAAGTATCAAATCATGGGCCAAAAATGGCTCTCCTAATTCATTGTCTTCCTCGCAGAAGCACAAGCTCCAAGCTATGTTAGAACAACAGCTGGGAATTCTCAACAAGGTATGGGCTCTTTTCGGTGTTATTTCTGATATCTAATTCCATCTAGTCTCTTGGCTGTGCTTCCGAGACTACAACGTTCCGCATTCGCGAGATCATAAATACGGATATCCTCCCAACTCTGAATGATTGCATCGAAACTTCCACAATAAAGGCCAGGCAGACTTGTAAAGCCCTCACAGAGTCAGACACATCTTTTCAGACCTGGAAAGCAATTTGCCGTAGGCAAGGTAAGTTTAACAACAAAAGGAAGGTAAATTATGACTGGAATGGCGTTTTCTTGGAACCATTCTTGGAATGTCTCGCCAACCCTTGGGATCGAGTTTTCAATGTTCAAATGCAGCACATCCATGATGAGTGTTCTAGAACTGTTGTCGCAGCTATCAACTCGTTTTCAACCGACATAAGACCACTTCTCCACGATATATCGGAGGCTTCTGCATCAAACTCGCCCGTCGAGATTCTAGCCAAAATTCCTTATTTACAGCGTAAAACAACAACAAAAATATCTGCGTCCATGAATTTCACCCAAAGTCAAGCGCAAGAAATTTATCGATTGATTGAGCCATTGATTCAACAGCATATGCGCCCTGCATATCATTCGTGTAGTCTGGAATCAAGTGAGTATTACGATTCACGTAACAATGACACAATTTCTGACACATCCATTTCTTCCAGATACAGGAGCACTTGCTCGCATGAAAGAGCATCTGTTAAGACACATCAGAATGAATAACGAAAATATGTACAAGGAGGCATCTAAGTTGCTTAAGAAGAGATTGAACAAGATGATAAAAACTCTCGAGGGGTTATTGTCAAAGGCTCATATTGACACGTCAAAATACCTCAGAAAAGAAATTGAAGACATGATCATGGTGGCGGTTGGAAAGGATGATGAAGCCAGAGAGAAAATGAGCCGAGTAAGAAATACTTTGTGCAATGATTTGATACTGGAGCTGAATACCTTGGAAATGGCATGGGTTAGGAGTGCTTCTGAACCAGCGGAAAATCCTATGTCTCTCAACACTGATAGAAAGGTAGAAGATGACAGTGGTGAAGATGGTGAGGGGGATGACTTTAGTTTTGACACTGAAAGCAGTGATGGTAGTGAAGGCGTAGAGAGTACTAGCGACGAAGTGGAGGGTTCTTGATTCAAGATCGTGGTCTTGCTATTGGAGATGTGCACCGTATGAGTTGGACCACTGACTTTATGGCAGAGGACTACTTTTGTGAGCTTCTTTCACGCACTTGTTGACATTTCCTTATATTTCGAAAAAGATGGCCTAGAGCCTGTATTCGGATATTTACGTCGTTGATTTTATTTTCATTATTATTTTTCATCCAGGAAATCTCTGTTGTGCAATGGGAATAAGGTCTTATGCGGAGACGAGGAGATTGGTCCATCAAGCCGAGTTATTATTGCCTACCTTTTATATTTTACATTTTAGCAATCATGAATCCAAATGTCTTTTACAACCTGATAGTCACCTAGGCTTTGGACGACAAGATGTATAAAAGTTACCAACATAAATTTTGACTAAACTAGGTCTCATCATCACCCGCCTCAAGATTTTCCAGAAATTGATTGTTCTAGACCCACCATACATACGGATACCTCCGGAGCTTTAGCCACGGCCACTCAGACCTCTTTATTTGAAGATGTAACCTCTCTGAGCTTGAGAGCGTCTGAAATGGCAGCGCCGCTTGATAGTGGATAGAATGTGTGTATTTGGGTGAAAAATTCTACTTCCGAGGCAAATATCTACAAATACTAATCAAAGTAGCAACTTCCTATTCCCTCGGTGTAATGGACTCCGCATGATACTCTTTACCACCGATATCGTAGGAATAACGAGAGACAATATAATTGGATAGAAACATCTTGAAACTATCTATAAAAGCTCCGATTCTTTCAAACTCCGAGGATATTTTGAGGCATCAACACATGTAGGTCTCTTGTACGGAGTAGGGTGTTAAGAGAAGGACATCAAAGAGGCGAGAGAGGCTCGAGCCTCAAGGGATTCAAAGAAACGATCAATCTAAAATGGACTCGTCATAATCAAGCCTACTATTGCTAATTTCTTGATCTTGTGGATGAAATCACAATGATTCATTACTTTAGCCAATCACTGATCAAGCACTTTGGTACATCTTGACATACAAAGATTTCTCTCTTTTTCTTACAGATCTCTCTCCAATCTGTAAGAAAGAGAGCAAGAGAAAGAGGTGAATACATACGGAGTCGGGGAGAATAGTAATCACGCCTTATGTAGTACCAATACAACAAGAGGAGATATATCAACCCCCTCCCCCTCCCAATATACCTTCACGAGACCCTCTCAACTTGTACTGAATCTGGAAAACGAATCCCATAACAGAGGTCAATCAAGGGGAAAGAAAATAATATCCAATAAGCTTATTCTCTCTCTCTCTCTATACTAGGTACATACCGAGCACACCTCATAAAACCCCGTTTCCGCGATTACTCTTTTTCTGGACATCATCTTGCTGAATAATAGCAGCAGCTATTTTATTCCTCTTTACTCTTTGAAATTTGTCATCAATCGGTCAATCTACCTAGAGTGGGGCAATACTCAAGCCAGGCGGCCACTCTAGGGTCTAACTTAAACACCTCGAAAACCCACCGAAGCCCACAATCCGTAATCACTCCGGAATTTGTCTCTTCCACTTATTATTATTATTAACAACTCGACAACTCACTCCCCAACCTTCAATCCTCAATTCTTCTCCCCAGATCATACTAACCGAAGGGAATTGTCATACATACATTTCGTTTTCAAGTGAATCACATATCCGATCATTCACTTCGAATCCGCAGACCCACGAGATAGTCCATTCAATCTAGTCCCTTTTTTCAGATCGGGCGCAATTCGGAGAACAAAGAAAAGAATTCGAATAACTTTTTCATCACCTCCCACCTTCCAACCCTTCCAAGAACTTCCATCGAACGATTTTATCTGCAACATCAATATCATAGAGACGAAAGGGCTACGAAAGTCACTCCATATTCTCGAATACATACTTCAGGATGGCATACAATGGTCGGCGGGGTCCGAATGTATCGGAATACATCGCGAATCTCAACGCAATCCCAACACCACAAGACTTACACAATTCCAATCAGGATCCATACAATGTAGATGACGAATTGGCTATGTTCACGAATACCGAATTTTACGACATCGACTCAGTCTTGCAGACACCAAACTTCGATGGAGTTGGGGCACAATCTAATGCGGATAGTGTTGATTTGGATTTAAAGGACATAGATTTCAGTCTTCCAGGTTAGAGATACCCCATGTCTCCACTGTACTCCTATCATATCGACTCTCTCCTCTCTCTTTGTGTTTCCTTTACGCGGTATCTTTGGGGCGATATGTTTCTTTCCTATCTTGTGGGCGAAGACTGGACACACTTTCTAAGCACAAGTGTGTACATCAAGTCAAAATAATCGGGATAGGACCTTTCACAAGGACTGCTATGATCAATTCTCTGTTTGAGAAGTTTCACTGATCAGCTTTTGGCCAATACCTTTACCTGCACATATCCACGTGCGCCTAGATTGTATAGGATGAGTATAGTTCTTATCCTCTTGCATTACTTTTCTGCAACGTTCCTCGAACCCTTCCCTCCTTACTTTCCACATGCTTTGTAACCCTTTATTGTGCTGCTTGGTAAGCGCGCACTATTACCGAGCAATGGCGACATATCACGTGTCGTCATATCACATTGACTAGGGTAGTCGATAATTGCTCCACTCTTTTGTCTTCCCAAAAGTCATTGGTGTCTATCCGGTCTAATCCTCGTCTCTCACCCGTTTGCCGTCGCTTATTGCAGTCTACCTGCAGATCTAAAATATAATTCCACATCTATTTCCCTTCTCAAGCAATACCTCCAAAAAAGCCAGGCAAAGCTAATATCATGATGCTCCATTCAGGTGATTTCAATTTCTCAGACTTCAACACCTTCACCAACAACCACCCTACTAATTTCGGTAATCATGATGGCATGCCTCCCGTAATTCATCCAATTCAAACCAACCATCAAATCTACAATCCTCCGCCGTCATCCGCCGGCTCTCCTACATCTGCCCTTGTTTCCCCTCAAGTTGGAGAAAAGCGCAAAGCTGAGTCTTTGTCCGATGGACGATCACCCGACTTTGAAGATGCATCACGCATAGCTGCTGAAGAAGACAAACGTCGAAGAAATACCGCCGCTTCAGCTCGCTTCCGAGTCAAGAAGAAGCAACGCGAGCAAGCTCTTGAACAATCAGCGAAAGCTATGAGCGATAAAGTTGCAGCTTTGGAAGGACGCATCAATCAATTAGAAACTGAGAACAAATGGCTTAAGAATTTGATCACGGAGAAGAATGAGAGTAAGGAGGATATTGCCGCCCTATGGAAAAAGTACAACAAGGACTCTGGTGACAGGAAAGGCGCTGAACGCAAAGATGGTGTGGGTACAGAAGCTTAAATTGTCTTCTAAAGATGATTTTCTCGTTCATTTGTGCTCGTACGTTTCTTGTTTGGTCTTGCGGTTTGCGTTTGCGCCAGTTTGCGCTTGATTGAATTCGCGCCATGGTTGTTTCTGGGAGGTAATTTTCACAAATATCCCAGCCTGGGATTGATACATATTTGAATGTGTTGGTGGAAGAAGGTACGATGCCATGTGTTCAATGATGGATGATTGAATGATAGCGTAACTGGAGTTCCGGATAGTGAAATTTCTCCTGTTCTCATCTTTCAAGTCTACTGGTAGATTTACAGCCAACATTCACAACAACTGCTACGGCATGGTGTGTAACTCGGCTTACTAGACAGATAGCTCACCTAAACAAAATGAAGTTAAATAAACACATAACGACTTACCTACCTAATTCGTACAAACACATCATTGTGGGATCAAAATTCATATTTAGTCTTACATGCATTTGAGAATACCATTACAGTGACAGCTTTAATCCACCGCATCTAACCATAGCTGTAAAAGATGGTGATCCGAATCCCCAAATTCCCCGTTGAATAAAAAAACATCATAGTCCCTCCAAATTGCGTGCGTGGGAATTCAAAACTCCCCTCCAAAATACCATCCGCTCCGGCACTTCTAATCAATCAAAAAATCTACGCGTACCGGATAGGAGATGTCGTTTTTGATGGGTTTGTGGGGGATTAGCCGGTTTGGAGTTGTGGATTGCCATGGGGAAATGAAAATTAGCCGATTATTGCAAGGTGCTCCGGCTAATTCTTTGCCGGCGAGGTGTGGGGACTGGATATATGGGTGATGAGTTTATTTTGACAACGATGGTTGTTTTTGGGTGAAAACTTCCGTATCACACTTAGAGAGAAGCTTTTAGTTCTGGTTTGAGCTGCGAAGTAATTGTTCTTTTATGGTTTGAAGGATGAATGAACTGTTGTTGTATGGATATGACTTGCCGGTTGATAGCCTGTGCAGCTAGGCAAGGGAAATGATGTTGTGAGCGTTGGTATCCGGATTGATTTTGTTGTTTACATGTGTTGAGTAGGTGAAATGGATTCTAGAGAGTTTTTATGATGTTTGCTTGGAGGTTTAATTGGGAAGTTTTGGGTGTATGAGTGCGGTGAAAAGAATGTGTGGTAGATGGGATGGGTTGGAGTGAGAGATTCGCGCACCGCATGTGAGGATACCGATCAAAACCTTGGGTCTTCTTTCTGGGTAGTAGAGGTGTGATTATCGTCCATTGTGGGAATTCAAATCATACGAAAAGCTCTTGCACGGCCCTCGAATGCAGTCCTCTACGAATGAGCGCCAAATCCTAGAGAAATGAATTGGCAACACTAGCTACACTTCTTGTACTGAAGTTGCGTTTTGCGCGAGGTCGAGGAACTTGTCAATGGATATGGTGGATACCGCTCATCGTTGACCTCTTCGATTTGTGTGTCTCCCAAAGATGCAAGCGGAAATGCATTCCAAAGGCTACGGATAAAACGGAAAATATCCTAGGGAGGGACAATGAATGGAAACAAGAAAGAGAAGCGGCAGCAACACCAAAGAATCAATGTTAACAAGTCAATTGCAGAGGACTTCCCGATTCACCGCAGAGATTCCTGTACTGGTTCCGGCAACATGCTTGCGATCCCAATGCAGAAGGGGAGTCAAGGGTCAAAATTGGAGAAAGGTGTTCTTGTGTCATTCAATCGCCTCGGAAGTGGAGTACTCTGACCTTCGACACGACTTTAATAACATAACTACAAAATCATCAAGGCGAAACCGAGAGGTGGCTAAGGAACGCATGGGCACGAAATCACAGAAATGGCTGGGTTTAATTCACTTGCACGCTTGCCTGGACAGAAACATTTTATTGATATTTATACAGCAAATCAGTGCGTAAATATCCTCCCGAGATAATACTTATCATAAAGTTAGGATAGATCAATAGGGGCCTCATATTGTCTTTTATACCTACCGCCTTAAACCAGATGGTGGTGGTAACCCAGTGCAGATCGAAACCAAAACGCCTCCCAATTTTCAGATATAGCAAGAGTAACTCTTAAGTCCTCGTACTGAGCTCCCATAGAATTTCCCTCGCCGCACACCCTTTTCTTCTGGGTGTGATAATCCCGAACTCCGAGGTCTTCGCCCTGAAAACAATCAACCAGTTTCGATAATGAAAGTGAATACGGCAAAATCCCACACCTTGAAATTTTTGAAACAGTTCGAACAAAGAAACTACCCATCCCCATAGACCTCGAGCCGACTACATTTCAACTCGACCGACCACAAAAATAAGACTCCCCCGGGCTCTCCAGCTCTCCAGCTCCCCAACCCCATTGACCTCAAATTTATTGAGTTTCAATTTCCTCACTCTCGACACCTCGAAGACTGCAATCTTGATCCTTACCAAGATAGACACAATTCATGCAAGCACCTCTGAAGTGTTCTCCAACCGAAATGGTTGCGCCAATAACAACACAGCTTGCAAAGGGTACAGACCCATCTTGCATGTGGTCAGCGCAATGCGTGCAGGCCATTCCTTGGTCTATTTCGGTACCAGCAGCCTGTCCTGCACAAGCACGCCAGTGCTCAACATTCGTGTCGGCGACCTCACCATTCCAAGCAATATACTCTGGTGCTGGGATAATGAGTTGCTCAATGCTAAGGTTGCACAGTTGACTGTGGATAGGATCAGGAAGGAACGGAATATTCTCGACGCCATGCGAACAGAATTTATCCGTGATATCTGACGGCGTAGGTCCTGAAAACGTTGGCCCAGAAGTTCGAGGCTTCTTTGGTGAGTTTCGAGGATGGACAACTGAATGGTTATCGGAGCCATCATCGGACTCAATCACTTCGTCGTCGTCGATCTCATAGTGAGAATCTTGAGCCGACGCTAGTGTTTGATGCCTACGCTTGCTGCCGGCGGGGGTCATTCCAAGGCTCTCGGAAGTATCAGTTGACAAACCACCAGCAGTTGTACGAGCAGCAAGTTCCCTCCTGCGGCGCTCGTTCTCGATCTGCTTGTCATCAAATTTGGTCTTCCATCTGATACTGTGACGTTCATGGCGTATCTCTGTATTTTCGATAATGCCATGCAAAGGATCCTTGGTACGCCTCTCCAGCGCCAAATTCAAACCGTTCTCACGACCTGTATTGTACTCACGAAAGAGATGTGGCTTCATGTAGTCCTTGAAGAGGTCTTCGCGCATCAAACGATCAACACACGCCACTCGATCTAGAAAAGACATATTGGAGACCGTTTTCATGAAGTCTTCTGCTGGTTTGACGTTGGCAAAAGCAGCGGTTTTTGGGTCCAATCGACTTGGAAGCATGCGGTCAAAGCGATTTTGTGGGATGCTTGGCTGAGAACCGGTCCCCTGAACCCGTGGAGAGTCTGCCTGTTGACTGATCTGAACTCGAGGTGGTCCCCGCTGAGGTACACGTTGGCTTTGCTGTGTAGATGGAGTACCTGATTGTCGGCCGGCCTGTCTTGACTGTCTGTCTCTCCGTGTGGGCTGTTGTGGTGTCACAGTTAGGGGAGCAGGTGCAACCAGTCGCAATCGAGGTCTTGCAGTTTCTGTCAGTCTAGCACTACCGCTAGTAAGTGATGCTGATTCACGTTGCTTGATTGGCTGCTGTGAGGGATCTTGATGTGAACGTTCTGGATATACGAATGTCGTGTTAGGCCCAACACCAGGATAACTGCCATTAAACTCAGGGGCAGCTACACGGCGTTCACTTGACTGCTGTGCAACAAGATCAGGCTGGCTCGCAACTTGGCTCTGGCCCCATTGCCAAGAATTGGTCGGGACACCAGTAGGCGGTGTATTGGTAGTACGAAGCTCTTGGGCTGGAACAGGAGAAGTTTCGCTGGGTCTGTGGCTATCCATAGCTCCCAGTGCTTCCTCAATTGATGCAACACTCTTTTGGCGTGTTCGTGATGCATTAATAGAAGGAGTTTGACACTGTGCAGTTTGCTCCGAAAATTGGCTTCTAACCTGTATTCCTTGTTGTGAATCGCTAGCATCTCGAATTGGGAGCGATGGTGGATCGCTATGTCTGCGTCTATTTGAAGATATCGGTGATCGTGTGCTCGATGCACCACTTTGTTGACATGGCACTGTTATATTAGCAGAAGCATTTTGACCTAGGCCATCATTCTGCGACAATTGCTGTAAGGGCTGTGGTCTTTGAATAGCTCCAGTATCTTGACCCAATGCACCGGAAGGATCGTCTCGGATGTCATTGGATGGTTGTAACATCGAGACATCGCTGTCAATCGCTGGGCCTATTGATGAACCATCGTATTGCCAGTTACCAGAATATGCCAGAGGAACGGCTTTCAGTATCGCTCTAGGCAAAGGGCTCAAATTTAACGGTATGTCGAGACCAGTGGCAGTGTATGAGAGTCCCTGCTCCAATACCCAGTGACCTGCAGGTGGCGCGCTCAGTGGACGATTAAGTTGAGCTGTCATTGTTTCATTGAAAAAAACAGATTGATATTGTTCACCTTGAGACGTTGACTCTTGCTGTGGAGCTTCACCATTTTGGGTGCTGCTAGCAAACTGAGTGTCCAAGGGACAATTTTCAGTCCGAATTGGCGATTGTAAGTCTGCAGAAATATCACTGCCAACAGATAAATTGTTGTTCATCTGATATCTTGATGTGACTGGTGCTTTGAAACTAGTAGTGTTATCCGTCTGATATTTTGATGGGACTGGTGTTCTGAAGCCAGTGGTGGTGGAATCCATGTTATATTCATCTAAGAATTCGCCTACTGGCGTATCCTGTTGCGAGACAGAGAAATTACCACTTCCGAAAGGGTTCCGGAGGCTCGGATTATAGAGAATCTCGTCAGCAATTGAATAGATCCCAAGACCTGTCATGTTTGGGAGTCCTCCATTTCCCTGTGCATCGAAGTTGTTCGCATTTGGGCTGTATTGACGAGGCGACCGTGCCATTTGAGGTAGGAACGCGGAAGCATGTGTATTCTGTCGTAAATCCGAGCTCGAGCACCGGCCTTGGGATGAACCTTCTACATGTTGGCCGTTTTCATGGGGCCATTCCGCTTGAAATTTAGTGGGGGTCGGATTCGTGGAGGACGTTTCAGTGCTCGCAATTGCTTTGACTCCTTCTATAAGACACAATTAGTAACTAAAGGTCCAGATGCGGAGAAAGCAAGCAAAGAAAATATCAACAGATTTGGAAACTTGCCATTTACGTCATTGCTAGTCGAAATTGCAATGGGGAGGGAGACTTGCTGGTTGGTGTACCAACAGAGGTCATCTCCTCCATCGTAGTTGTAAGACATCTTGCTGATGGTTCCGTGGGTTTTAGTTGCGATTTCTTTACAATGCCCTTGGTATATAACCGAATCTTTTAGTCTCGAACAGGTGAGTAGTTGTAAATATTTCTTGAGAGTCAAGTGTTATTTCAAAAATGGTTTGATGATAGGAAGATAAAAACTAGAATTGTTGATTGAGAAGTGTTTAAGGTCCGATTATCTGCGGAAAGATTTTTGAGTCGAGTCTAGAGAAGGGGCCTGGCTCTAGACTCGGACCTGGTTGCTATCTTAAATAGAAATACTTAGAACGCTTGCTTAGCGAGGCTAATATTACAGCAGCTTGTTAGACGAAACCCAGACATTCAACTTCAGACCGTGAATTGTTTGCTGGGATAGATCACCCAAACGTAAGTCGTTTCTCTCTGGCAAGTTAATTGGCACAACTCTGAAGGTATGTTTCCATAATTTTTCAAATTGTGAATGGAAAGACTTGTACAGAATATCCGGCGCACCTCATAAGTTCTTTAGTAGAGCAATTTCATACTACTTCGCATAGGTTAACCAATTCAAAGGTTTCTTTACATACATAATGACCACACAAGCACATAGTACAAGACATTAAAGATAATACATATAGCAAGAAAAGAAAATTTCTTTATGATGTAAATCAACCACCCTATTTTCGAACCACCCCTGTTTTAAGCCACCCTTTTATATCAAAAATCGCTTTTTTAGCCTATTAATATCTTTATCAATATATAATCTAATTTAATAAAAATTTGAATATATATAATTTAAATTATTTTAAGTTTATTTTGAAAATTTGAAAATTTTAGGAATTTTCTATATTGAGATTTAGAACTTTAAAATATCGATTTTTAAATTTGTATAAAAATCATATATAAATTTAAAACTTTTATAAAATCTTTAATAACTTTTTAATAACAATTATTAAAAGAAAATTATATATCTTTTTAAAAGTTTTGAATTTAAATTTATATAGAAATTAATAAAAAATTAATAAAAAATTAATAAAAAATTAATAAATATAAAGATATAATATATAATAAATTTAGAATAGTATAAATAATTTCTATAATTTTAAGGGTATTCTTTTAAATATTTATTTATAAAAAAAATTCTTTTTGTTTCTAATGTTACGGGAGCTGCCTCTAGGGTCACGTGGAAGTGTCTAGAGTTCTCTCGAGGTGGTTTAGACTAGACTTCAAGTAGGAATTCAATAAGGTTGTAACTGGTTGCAATTCTCGTAACTATAGTAATGAACTAATGATTGTTCTTGAGCACGAAGCTCTATATTATAATGAAACCCATTCCCTTATATAGACCTTCTTGCTCAGTGTGATCAGTACGGCTCAGTACTGGTTTGTTTGTACTTTCATGGCTCAGTGTCTATCCCGCTGAGGCAGACTGAGCCAACTACGTGACTTAGTGCCCCAGTCCCGTGCCTATGTTGCGTCGTTCGTAACACTATCCCCTTCTTATCCTAGCGCTTGTCCCGAGCGTTATATAGTCATGTGTTCCCCACATAGCCATATCATAATGATTCTTTATTTCCTTTCATTATGCCTATCACTAGTGATTCTCGCTCAACACTTAATCGTCGTCGTCTAAGCCAAAAAATCAGAGACAAAGGAAATATTATGGCGCCTTGTTCTCGTTGTGAAAAGAATGGTTTGCAATGCCGCACACTTCCTGAATCCAAACGTTGTGGAGAGTGCGTTTCGCTCTGGTTCTATGAAGTGTGATGTTGCTGGTCTTTCTCCTTCTGACTGGGATGTTCTATCTCGAGAGGAAGCTCGTCTTGAGGCCGAGGAGGAAGCTGCTGCTCTCGCGGAACAGGAAGCCTTCCGTCGTCGTATGGAAATTCGCAAAAAACAGAAGACACTTCGTGACCGGGGTTCTGAAATGCTTCGTCGTGGTGTTCGCTCATTGGATGAACTGGATGAATTACTAGAAAAAGAGCGTGTAGAGAAGGAAAAGGAGTTGGCGTCTGTCTCTGCTGCTGGCCCTAGCGATGGTTCCTTTGTTTTCGACTCTTCTTCTTTGGACCCTTCGATCCTGGCTACAATGGATTCTCCTTCCTTCTGGGCAAATCCGGGTATTGCTGGTGGAACGCCTCCAACTTCTCAGGGCAGTTGAGGTTTGTTCTTGGTTCCCATGAATTTTCGGTGTGTGGATAATCTAACCATTTGATTAAATATTTGATTGTGCCTCTGACGTATTTACAATCTAGTATTGTTTCGACATCGTATATGGCGTTCGGGTTGACTGGTTCGATTTCCGTTAATGGCGCATTCGGCGCTCCTGGTGGTGCTGGTTCGAGCAAGGATATGTGGAATACTGGGTGGATGTTCATCGTGTCTGGTAGTTTTAACCGATAATTGACGGTTCCTATTACCTTATCAATCTTGAATGGTCCTAGTTTCCTGTGGTCGAGTTTATTGCTTGGTCTTTTGGTTTCAATGTTTCGTCGTAGCAAGTAAACTTTATCCCCCTCTTTAAGCGTAGGTTCCATACTACGTTTCGTATTGTAGTACGCTGCTGTTCTGGATGATATGAATCTTAGATCAAGAGCAAGCTGTTCTTGTAAATCTTTTAACTGTTCGACTTGTATTATTGCTGATTCGGCATTGACTTCTTGTGGTATCGGTGTTTAATATGCTTTAGGATTAAACCCAAAGTTAGCGCGTGCTGGTGTTATCTTTGTGGTTTCCGTTTCCGATGTGTTATATGCGAACTGTGCCATAGGTAATAGTTCTACCCAATTGTCTTGTCGATAATTTACATAGCATCTAAGATATGCTTCCATTGTCTGATTGGTCCTTTCTGTTTGACCGTCTGTCTGTGGGTGGAAAGCTGTCGACAGCTTTCTTTTAATACCCATTAGTGCTAATAGGGTAGTCCAGAATTTCGAGGTAAAGAGCTTGTCTCTATCCGAGATTATCTCATCTGGTACTCCATGTATGCTTACTATGACCCTGAAGAATACATATGCTAGTTGTTCAGCAGTCCATGTTTCTTTGAATGGTATCATGTATGCGAATTTTGTTAATCTGTCTACTACGTTGAGTATTGCGTCGTACTCAATCGCCGTGGTAGGGTCCTTTGAGAGTGGTAGTTTGACCACAAAGTCCCATATAATGGACTTCCATGGCTGAGAAGGCATGTCTGGGGTCTGGAGCTGACCATACGGAGCGTGTCTAGAGGACTTATTCCGTATGCAGGTATCGCAATTTCCAACAACTTCTTCAACTATCGTTCTCATTCGTGGGAAGTAACTGATTTCCCGTAATCTTGCGAATGTTCTCGCGATTCCCTGATGTCCATGTGCCGGCAACCCGTGTTGTTCCGTCACGAATTCCTTAGTCATTCGACTAGGAATGTATACTTTTCCGTGGAAGTATATGATCTCGTTTTCTATCGTGAATCCTGGTTCTATTGTCTTGCGTATGCGTATAGCTGTAGCATCCTTGTCGTAATGTGATTGGATTTGACTCCTGAGATGGTTGTCTTCCAATATATGAGTAGCTGCAAGCTGTGGTGCATTGTAAACCAGTGATTCGCCTTCTTTCTTGAATATAGCGTACGATTCGTACGACTTATTTTCTTGATATTCTGGTTTTCGGCTAAGAGCGTCGGCTCTAGCGTTTTCTGATCCTTTGACATATGAAATCTTAAAATTGTAGTTGGCCATGGTTTCCGACCATCTGACCTGTCGTCTGTTTAACTGCTTCGTTGTGGTGAAGTAAACCAAGTTCTTATGATCCGTATACACCTGTACTGTGTATTTTGATCCTTCCAAATATACTCGCCATTCTCTAAATGCGTCGACTATCGCCAGTAATTCTTTGTCATATATTTCGTAGTTCAATTCGGCTGGTGATAGCTTTCGAGAGTAGAATGCGATTGGTTGCTATTTCTCATTTTGACCTGGTTGGCTCAACACTGCGCCTATAGCAAAATCTGAGGAGTCCGTTTCCACTATGATTTGCTTATCAGGATCGAATGTCAACAGTATTGGCTCCTCGGCCACTGCCTGTTTGAGCGTTTCGAAGGACTCCTGCGCCTTGGCGGTCCATTCGAAGCTTCCTTGATCTTTTCTGGTTAACGTGGTTAAGGGTGTAGTAATCCCTGAATAACCCTTGATGAATCTTCTGTAGAAGTTGACAAATCCCAAGAAGGACTGTACTTCTTTGATTGTGGTTGGCTGCCTCCATTCGAGCACTGCCCTAACCTTGTCCTTGCTCATCTTGAGCCCTTGGCTTGATACGGTGAACCCTAAGAATTCTGTTTCCTTGACGTGGAATTCGCATTTGCTTGGTTTACATAGCAAATCTGCCTTGGCTAAGCTTTCGAGGATGCTGCTAACATCCTTGATGTGTTGGCTCTCGTTGTTTGAATATACTAGGATGTCGTCCAAGTAGCATATACAACAAGTGTCTAAGTATGGTGACAACACATTGTTCATGAGTCTCATGAAAGTAGCTGGTGCGTTAGTTAGCCCGAACGGCATAACTTGGTACTCGTATAGCCCGTATCTTGTTTTGAAAGCGGTTTTCCATTCCTCGCCTTCCTTCATTCTGATCAAATGGTACCCGTTGCGCAGGTCCATCTTGGTGAATATGGTAGCTCCGCCTAATCGATCTCTTAATTCCGTAGCTAATGGAAGTGGATATCGATCCTTCTTGGTAAGCGTGTTGAGCTTTCTGTAGTCCACAACTAGTCTCTTAGTACCATCCTTCTTGGGTACCCACATAGTTGGACTTGCCACTTGGGACGTGGATTCCCTGATCCATCCCTTGGCCAAATTGTCATCGATATATTCCCTGAGCGTCTTCAGCTCATCGGCTGACATTGAATAAATTGGGGTGTGCACAGGCATCTTGCCTTCCTCCAATATTATCTCATGATCCCATGGCTTGTGTTCTGGCAAAGCCTCATGGATCCCTGGTTCCTTGAACACATGTTCGTATTTCTTGTACTGTTCTGGTATCATAGGCTCTTCTGCCTTGATTGCGATTTCCTGCCGTGTCGTTGGCTTCTGCATTTGTAGAGGAGGTGTACTGGCCTTCGCTCTTAATGGAGGACCCTGGACTGGGTGTCCTACGTCGCCGGGATTGTTCGCGTTCAACTCCCCTTGGCGCGTGTTCCGTCTCGCGGACGCCTTGAACGTGTCCTTGTGACCGTTCTTGCACTGATCGAATGTCACTGTCTCTTGTGACCAATCTATCTTAGGATTGTGTGCCTTCAACCATGGCATTCCTAAGATGATCTGTTGTTGGCCCAATGGCACAACGTCAAGCTGTATAACCTCTGAATGTTGGGTTATGTTCATTTGTACTGGTCGTGTCTCCTGTGAAACATTCCCGTCAGATCCTGCTAGTTGTCCGTCAACTAACTGCAATTGGTAGGGTTTTTGTTTCTTCTGGAGTGGAACTCCCAAGTACTTTGCAGCTTCTGGTGCAATAAAGTTTCCTGTAGCCCCTGAATCTATCATGGCTTGCTGTATTTGTCCGTTTATTTTGACCTTGCAGTATATCTGTCCTGCTTGTCCTGTAGCATTCAATTGCTGGGTAACTTGTTTTTTGTCTGTTTCGTTGGATTGTTGGTTTCTTGTCTTTCTTTTCTTGGGGAACCATCCGGTTGCTTCTTTATCTGATCGATGGATTCCGCAGAATTCATCATAGCAAGCAGTCCAGCTCATCATCGCGTGATCTGCTGGTATCTCTTCCTTAATACATTCTTCCGTTACCGATGGTGATGGGGTTCGGTAGTACTCCTGTTCCCACAAGTCTACTGCATTCATACCCTCTTGGTTTCGCGGTAACTCGTCCAATAATTTCCGGAATTCTTCACTGGTGAAGGTCTCAGTTTCTTCGGTCTTAGCTGGATGTTCTTGGGATACAAAGGTAGCGTTAAGTTGGCCTTTGCCGAACTTGGGTTTGAAGTTGCCTTTCTTTCCTCCTGTCTTCTTACTTCGGCAATCCGCTGCCCGGTGCCCTGCTTTTCCACATTCAAAGCATAAGTTGTTTTCTCGTCTTCGTTTCTTTTCTCTGGATCATCATTCCCGTTCCTGTGGTGCGTGGCGTCTAGTTCCATGGGGTCCCCGTAACTCTGTGTACTGTAACGTGGTCTACCCTCATTCTTGCGGTAGCGCCCTTGCCTATGATTTGTCTGAGGCTTGTATGATCGTTGGGTTTGTTTGTACCTGTATAGGCGGTCATCGGCATCGATGGAGCTTTTGATTAGTCCGTTCAAGTCATCGTCCTCCCCTTCCCTATCAAGTTCCAAACGTACTTCTGGTTTGAGTCCTTTACGGTAATGACTCATGATGGCGACCTTGTCCCATTTAGTTGTCCCCGCATATCTTCGGAACTCCGTAGCATACTTCAATGCCGATCCTGTCTGCTTGAGGTTGAAGATCTTATCTTCCGCTACCTCTAGCTCATTGGAGTTCCCGAAGATTCTACGAATCTCTGTCTTAAATCCTTCAAAACTGTTGAAGATTGTTCGAGTGGGTTGCATGCGATCCTGGTCGTCATGCTCGAAATAGTCTCGTAAATATGGTTGAATCCACTTGCTTGCTTCTCCTCTGAGATATGATACAGCCCATACACTCTTGGATTCCTTTTTGGTGAACTTGTCTTCGTTGAATCTGAAGTAGATTTCAAGTTGTAAGAGGAAGGTGTCGAGTTCCTGTCGACTTCCTTGGTATTTGTCTGGTAAGGCAATCTTGAGTGTTTCGTTGATGGTAATTTCCTTGGGAGCGTCGGTCATCTCGACATCGTCGGTGTCGGGTGCTTGTGCCTGACTGCTCGCGGATGTATTGGTGGGTGCCATATCGTCGGTTGGTATTGAATTGGTACTTGAAGCAGAAATGGTGCTCAAAGTGTTACGGGAGCTGCCTCTAGGGTCACGTGGAAGTGTCTAGAGTTCTCTCGAGGTGGTTTAGACTAGACTTCAAGTAGGAATTCAATAAGGTTGTAACTGGTTGCAATTCTCGTAACTATAGTAATGAAACTAATGATTGTTCTTGAGCACGAAGCTCTATATTATAATGAAACCCATTCCCTTATATAGACCTTCTTGCTCAGTGTGATCAGTACGGCTCAGTACTGGTTTGTTTGTACTTTCATGGCTCAGTGTCTATCCCGCTGAGGCAGACTGAGCCAACTACGTGACTTAGTGCCCCAGTCCCGTGCCTATGTTGCGTCGTTCGTAACATCTAAATCCTTCAAAATAAATATGTTATAAATTTTTAATAAATTTTTATAGCTTATTTTTAATAATTTTTATTAAAAAGTTATTAAAGATTTTATAAAAGTTTCAAATTTGTATATAATTTTTATACAAATTTAAAAATCGATATTTTAAAGCTTTAGATTTTAATAGAGAAAATTCCTAAAAATCTGAAATACTCAAGGTAAGTTAAAAACAATCTAAATTATATATATATAAATTTTCAATAAATTCTATTTATAAATAAGAAAGTTAAAAATTCCATTTTTGGTATAAAAAGTAACCCAAAAGGGGGTGGCCCGAAAGTAGGGTACCCGACTTAACCTTTTTATATATACATTCGTAAACTATTGTGCGCTTGCAAACCATTCTAGGTACCAATTCTGAAGGGAGGCTCAATGGAACCAGCCAGCTTGTGTTCTTTTTATCATATGTTGGCCTACTGCAGAATGTGAGGGTATTTTGAAAGTTCATTCAAGATGCGTGAGGGAACAATTGACGATGCAAGCAAGCTATATGAGAACATGTTGGCTCCATTTTCAACACTTGGGTAGTTATGCAGGCTGAATACTTGTTCTTCCATTATCAAAACAGTCAAAACAGTTACAACAACAAGCATGAGAAAATTCTTTTACAATAATCAATCATTAGAACAAAACAAACACAAAGCTGTCTTTGAAGATATTGCATAGGCGTAGGAAAACGACGAATGGGGGCATCATTCAAATGGAAGCAAAATAGCAATCTTGTTTTGGTTGTAAAATGGCCAAGGGATGATAAGTTGATGATTTGCGCATAATCAATCTAAAAGGTGAGTCTTTTCAATGACTTCTCATACTATCAAGCATTTGGAGAGCACAAGAAGGTTTGAATCAGGCTGATTGGGGCGATTTATCCGGCTATCGTTTCTTCTGTACTCTAGGTTTCTGTAGCCTGTTTGATCTCCACTGCAAGCGCGGCACGAATCTTTCGGAGTAAGTCGTCATGAGCATAACTCCTGCTTTCCAAAGGTATATTAGTAGCAATTCGAGTATCATGTCAATCACAAATACCTACTAAGCCTGAACTTGATGCCTCGTGACTTGTGACCTGTGATTGTGTTGAATATAAGCATCAGCAACAAAGCCTCTGTCGAAATGATGCTGACGGACATTTACTGACTGAGCTTTCTTTATGTGATGCCATGGCTTTTCAGGCTGAAAATCGGATTATTCAGCTTATTATGCCCTTACATTCGAATCAGAATATGTTGCGTCCTCAAAAGTGTGACATTTCACGGAACACATTGTTCCATTGTTTCAAATATACAATTTTCAGCCTTATATTGAGAAAACTATTGGTCATCTATGCATGTCAGTAAATATCCGACAGCCACATGGTCTTGTGCTCTTCATATGATATTGGAGTTTCCCGTGGGTGTCAGTGATCATGAGCATTGCGCCATGGAAGCCACTGAAAACGTCTCGTCCTACTCAAGGTCGAGGATATCAGAATCTACTGCATAGTATATATCCATTTAATAGGTAATCGGACCGTCGCCCTACTCATGCCAAGAATGTGACGAGTAAAAAGATGATGTGGTGAGATCTGATCTGACTGCTGGCAAGTGACACGGTTTCTTGTTGAAGACTTCAGCCTAAGAATATTTCAGGCTTTGTCTAAGGTTCCCAAGAGCCTTGATCTATGATTTCTCGATATCAGAACTGAGAGTGTGAGCAAGTGGAAGGATGAGTGTGTGATGAGTGTGTGTGTGTGTGTGTATCGAATATCACATCGGTGATAGTGATGGTGATGGTGATGGGGATATGCAAATATGTATGAAAGTGAAATGGGACTGAAAGGGGTAGTGTTGAAGTGTCAGGAGTTCATCAGATGTCATGTCTTGATAAGACATCAAAAAATGAAGGAAGTGGCGACACGTGATCACCTGACGAACATTGGGCATTGAAAGACTTGACCAATCATTAATCCTAAAACAAATCACAAGCGCTATCTTACGCGTTAACCGCTATCTGGCTTCTAGCTTTAGTCTGATCCATAATTGTTTCGCGGAACGATAACCACCAGGTAATGCTTTGAGTTTGACTGACTTGTCCGACACTAGCAAAATAAGCTCCGCAATGACTGAGATAAGACAAAACTTCGCAATCATGTCGAACTTCATTCCTTTATTATTCGATAACATATTCTCCGAGCTTAAATATCAAGCTTGTGAATTACACTCATCACTTTTGAAGGGTTTCAACGATATCAGACCAAAGATCGCCCGAGCCCCACCCTTGTTACATAATTTCGAGGGTTTATGGCACTTCGAAGTAACTAGCGGTCTTGTTTTCGTCGCTGTTTGTTCATCCCATACCGCCAAAGGAATATATCATCTGGAGAAGTACAAGTTCGATGGGTATGCAAACCATTTTGGTATGAAGTGGATGTACCTACCACATGCTGATACAATCAACCTAGGTTCACAGTCGTTCAACATGAGCGGAATAAGCTTAGGCCGTCTTTGCTGGGTCTCTATGCTATGCATCTTACATGGTGTTAGCTCTTCTACCGTCACAAACACTGGAAACCGTGGAGCAGTAGCGAGTGAAAGCAAAATATGCAGTGAGGTTGGAGCGGAACTTATAGAGAGAGGTGTAAGTGACTCCTTAATGATAATTGATTCGAGACTTATCACGTGGGGGTATAGGGAAATGCCGCAGATGCTATGGTTGGTACTACTCTATGCGTTGGTGTCATCGGTAAGCCAGTTCCTAATCTTGAAGAATCGTCCCCCAGGGTTAGGCTTACAATCCCACTTAAGGAATGTATCATAGTGGTATAGGTGGAGGGGGATTTATGCTAGTACGTAGCTCAGAAGGGGAATACGAGACCATAGGTAAGATCCGTGGAAGGTTCACTTTATTTGCACCTAGCTCACACTTCAGCAGACTGTAGAGAGACAGCTCCAGCCGCTGCATATCGAGACATGTTTAGAAAAGATCGCAGCAGAGCCGTGGTCGGTGGAGATGCAGTTGCTGTTCCAGGTGACCTTCGAGGACTGGAATATCTTCATAATAAATATGGGGTATGTGCTTCTTCATTTTGAGATGATGACGCTTAACTGATATTCACCAGCAACTACCTTGGCAAATTGTTTGCAATCCAGCCGTACATATTGCTAGAAATGGTTTTCCTGGTATGTAGCTTTCACAGTTTTTCATGCACGTCACTAATCTGGACTAGTGACGGAAGACACGGTTTACTACATGCAGGCAGTTAAGAATCAAGTCGGTTGGAATTTTCTTGAAGAGGATCCAAACTGGGCTATGGACTTCGCTCCGAACGGTACACTCCTTGAATTGGGTGATACAATGAAAAGAGAGCGATATGCCAACACGCTAGAGACGATTGCTAACAAAGGAGCTTCGGCATTCTACGAAGGGGAAATTGCAGAAGCAACCATTGCAACCATAAAGGCCACAAATGGAACCATGACTCTGGCCGATCTCAAAGATTACGATATCAAGATTCGTAACCCCATCAACATCACTTATCGTGGCTACACTATCCATTCAACCGGTACTCCCTCCGGCGGTTCAATAGCCCTGAGCATTCTTAAAACCATTGAGGGATATGACATGTATAAAGAATCCGACTTATTTCTGAATACCCATCGACTCGATGAAGCCATGCGTTTTTCATATGCCGCTCATTCCGAGCTAGGAGACCCGTCATTCTTTGACGAGATGGTTAGATTCGAAGAAGGAATCATTTCAGCTGAGACTGCAGATTCTAACAGACGAAAGATCCTAGACGATAAGACACAAGACGTTGGAAGGTACAATCCAGAAAGGTGGGATATCATGGGAAATCATGGAACATCGCATATGGTTGCTACCGACGCTTCTGGCCTTTCAATAACCTCAACATCAACCATCAATCTACTTTTCGGTTCTGCCGTTATGGTTCCTGAGACTGGTATGTTATCCTGAACACTTATTCTCTTGTTTTTAGTTCATGACTTGCAGAGCTAATCTGTCTCTCTTCGCCCACGTTTCGAAACGTATTGAAACAATATTTTTGCTAACAATTTTTACAGGGGTTATTCTTAATAACGAAATGGACGATTTCTCCATCCCTGGCGTTCCCAATTACTTTGGTTTCGTCCCTTCACCTATGAACTATGTTCGTCCTGGGTAAGTCCGAGCCTCCTTTTGCATACAAATCTACCATTCATTTATCATTGATATTAGTGCCCGCCCCATGAGTTCCATCTCCCCCATTCACATCTCCCACCCCAATGGCTCCCACTTCCTTTCCATCGGCGCCGCCGGTGGATCACGAATCCCCACGTCAACAATCCAAGCCATCATCAACGTAATCGATCACGGCATGTCTCTCGAAGAAGCACTAAAGCAACCTAGAATGCATGATCAATTACTGCCCGAGAAAACGACCGTAGAACCGGGATTCGATGCAGAATTGCAGGAATATTTGGAGGAAAGAGGACATAAAGTTGGGAAAGCAAGTGGAAGAGAGAGTGCTGTACAAGGTGTGAGAGTTTGGGGTGATCTCTCGATTGAGGGAGAAGGGTTGGCTGAAGAAGGATGGTTGGAGGCTGTTGGAGAGCCGAGACAGAAGGCGAGTGGGGGAGTTGGTGTATGAGTGTCTTGAGAATGTTGAGTTGGTGGGGGCGGATGGAGGAAGGTGCGCCTCGCGCGGTTAAATTGCACAAACTCCTTTTTTACGACTATTAACCTTGGTTGAGTTTCGTCATATGAAGCTCGTGATCTAGAACGAAGATCTTAGAATTTATTTTCTTTACAGGCACGCCGATAGAATTTTGGATGAGGTATATGGAAAGAACATGGATATAGTTAGAGTTGGTATCACTCAGATCAGCTCCTAGATTTGCCTAGAAAGACAGACGGGCTCGCATCGATACTGCATCAGCGAAATCATAGAAGCAATACATACAATCGGTCATTTGTTTATCTTCAAGAGCGAGTTGTTGATCTGATTTCATAATTTTTCTGCACCTAGAGTCTACAATGTTGCAGTATCGTCTGAACTATAACGTGAACAGTTTCTTATACATTTTGATATTTGCTATATATTTATTTGCATATGTATTCTATCAATTCTGTATTCTATCAATTCCCAACCACCAACAAGTCATAACGTAGAACCATATAATTATATTCAATCCAGACTTTCTATTAACTTCTCCTAATCCCTTCCCATTTTCTCCCCAAGGTCACTAACTCTTCCATGCCTACAATCCACTTCTTTGCAAACTCCGCTTCTGTAAATCTTTGAGCCGATTTCCTCGCTCTCAATCTCATTGCTATCTTATCTTCTCGTGGGAGTGCTAGTGCGCTCTCGAAACCTTCAGCAAATTGTTCTGCTGTTGATGCATGAAAGCCTAGATTCAGAATTTAGTTATGCCCCAAAGAAGCGAGATTAAAAGGGGTGAGAAGAAAGAGGTAGAAACATACCTGTAGGCAAACCATCAATTTTTGTAACAATATCTCTCTTCGGGCCACCACTGTCATGAACAACACTAATCAATCCTGCCGCCTGGTACTCCACAACTCCAATTCCAAAATGCTCATTCCACATCCCGTTGACTCCAACACTGGCTTTGCCTAACCATTTCAGAATATCCGGCCAAGGCGCATCCAAATGAAATTCAACATCGTCTTTGACCTGCAGTTCGTTTGCTAGCAGGCGCAATTGATATACGCGCTTTGAATCAGAGTCATCGCGGACACTGCCGATAAGAATAAGTTTTGCGCCTTTGGCTGCAGGGGATTTAGTGGCTTTGAACGCCGCGAAAGCGGTTAATATGAGTGTATGATTTTTTTCAGGGCGGAATTGCGCAATATAAAGAAGAGCTGGTTGACGTATTACTTCGGATTCGGGGGTAACAGAGATCTTCTCCTCGAGCTCTTCCACAGCTACAGGAGGGAAGACTGCTGTTGCGATGGGCTTCTTTAATTCGCGTCGCCATTCTCCCCATAATGATGTGATATGATCGAGTGTCCAATTAGAATTTGTGAGAACTACATCGATTGATGCTCCGACCAAGGTATAAAACTTCGCAAATATCTTCCAATAAAGCTTCTTTGCCTCTCCTCTTAACCCTGTTCCCTTTCCAGCATTCACACCTTGTTTCCCGGTGGCAGATGTAGGATCTAAAGAGCCTAGCATATCTGTCGAAATGGTTGGATAATGTACGTATGCTCCAGTCGGTACTTCGGGGAACAAAATCTTGCAGAATCCAAGCGCAAAAGCATAG